TGTTAGCCAGAGCAAGAGAAACAGGCAGAAATCTTTGAAAATGTTGCCTAACCAAATAGTTCTACTACTCTTTGTTTAACTTCTGAGACAAATGTCCTCATCACGTTTTATCTCAAGTTCTGACGAGTCCTTTTTTATTGCGTGGCCAAAACAAGCGACCTCTTGTTGCTTTAGCAATTTGTTATAAACCAAGACAGTTGTCTTACTTTGAGTTTTAGCCATATATGTTTTTGTGGCGCGATCTTGACAAGCTAATTACTTATTGATTTATCTTCAAGAGCGATCTCAATTTGGTGAAATCAGACGAATTGCTCGCCTAAACTTTTGGCCCTGACGATTTTTTTTCGTTTTTGTGTTTCTCTTGCTTTCCGGCTGAAAAAAGGTCATTACGTTAAAGCTAAGATAGGGCATGAGAAGGAAGATGATGTCTGATTATAGCCACTTAGTGCAACCGGAGCTTTTAATCGTTTCTCGGTTCTGTTTATGTTGTTAATTTGTGGTAACTTTGTTCGTCTCTAACCTAATTTGCCAAAAGTTTTCTTTCCTTTAACAAGCCTTATTTAAATTAGGTTCTCATTTTGTAATTGTATCTCCATAATTGAGTAATATCGGTACATCGCTTTTGAAAATACTCGTTCTCTGAACTCTGTTTCCTTCCTCGAGCCACTTACAATGACAAGAGAACATGGCCTCCTTGAAAGATCTACGTTCTTACCTCGCCTGCAAGTTCGTCCTCTCCACTGGCAATCACGGCATCACGGGATGATTACAATCAACATATTTACGATAAAAATTAATGGTGGGCCCGCCCTTGTTCTCAAGTCATTTTACTTTAAAGTCATGAAACAAACATTCAGTTTTTTAAGGTGGCACTATAAAGTAAACTTCATACTTTGGCTGTGTTGTATTGTGCTTTGATTGGCATGGGTAAAAATAATTGCTGATCATCATCTGAGCTAAAAAGTATCGTTTATCACTTTTTAAGTGTCAGTCTGCTTGGTTGAAACTAGCTAGGTGGCTAGTTTTGCTGCAGTTTCTAGGGTGATTATGAATTTGAATGAGATATGTCAGGTGGATAAGATGGGTCTGGTTTGTCAGCCACCGTTTTTAAATACCTCGCCTTTGAGGTGCTGCAGTCGTAGACTAAACTTAAGCTGTTGTGATTGCTAACTTCGATCTGTCAGTAAGTTTAAGTCAAATTGTTTGGTCTGTCGAAGTGAATTATTATCAATTGGGTGTCGAAAATAACCAGACATAGCATTTCTTTTGCTTGACCGCGCTCTGTGATTGGTCCAGAAAACTCGCACCATTCTCTTAACCAATCAGATGAAAAACTGACACCAATAACGATTTGGTGGCTCGCGTTTTCCCGCGCTTTAAGAAGTTTGGCTGTTTTTACTTCGAGTTCTCGTGCTTTTAAAGGTATTTTACGCCGTTGTGATTAGTTTGGTTTTGGTTTTACGGCTCCATTGAAAAGCGCTCTATTCAATATTTAAATTATGTTGCTTGTTAGTGCTTCAGTTGTAGATTTGATTGGAGCGCGTTAGTTGTGATGATTCAATTTCGTCAAGCAAGTTGTTGGTACATTAGCTTTGTTTAATTGGTTTGTCTGATAGTTCTAATGTGGCGAGTACCCTCCTAGAGTGCAGTCGTTTTTTGCAGAGATCTTTCCAAACTATTCTGTCTTAAGATTTCTTTTGTCATCTGCTACTTAAGTCTGGTAACGTGGGTTAAAGTTTGAGAAGAGTCCCAACTGTATAGTTTAATAATACTTATATTAATTTGGTTAGTCTGGATACACAGAGGTTAACTGAACAAGTCGCTTGTAAGGTGCCGTAGTTGTAGAGGTCTTTTCAGATGAGATTTTTCTAAGTTGCTAATCAGCTCTCCGCAGTTATTCGTTGAAAACGAGTTCTGGACATGCGAGTGTGATTTGTGAGTCGATGACGTGCAATTAATTTTTCTTGTCATTCGTTTCTGTTCATTGCGCCAGTCTGCCAAACCGCATACTTACTTAAATGCCAGGAAAAATCAACGAAAGTTTCAAATCGCCGTTCTTTTTGCTTTCTGGATAAAACTAAGATATTAAATTTACAATGCCACCTTAACCATCATTCAGTTTGCCCATGACTTCTAGTTCTATAAACATTATTCACTGCTAGCGGATTGTTATGGAAACAGGTAAAAAAAGGGTAAAGTTTCCGTACAGCCCCAAACTATTGTAAAACAAATCTGTTTTCCCAATGGAAATGTATTGTTTTTTTCATTGTTTTCTCTAGTCAAGAACTGAATGCATAATGTAGTATAGGGCTGTGCGGAAATTTTACCCAAAAAAGTCAGAGCTTTCGTGTCGTTTCAATTACAAAAAATTTGTATTTCGCTCTCCTAAGCAGGTCTAACCTTAGGGAAAAGACGTAAAGCCGTAAGCCTTTTAAGATTTTCAGCTAACTCCATCGGCGAAAGGAGACAGTTTCCATAACAGTTACTACCAGTAAAATACTACTCCGAAAAACTTGGCTGCAGGTTTAACTAACTCAAAATTCTCCAGATTTCTGCCAGTCTTCAAGTGTTATCGAGACAAAATAGTTAGTAAATGTACGAAAGTGAGTCAGCCACAATCTTTCAGAGTATTCATACTAACGTATCAAACTAATCTAAGTTTCTTATCTTTGCTTTCCAATCTCTCCTGATCCAGTGACTCCATCCACACTGTTTTCTTGTATCTTGTTGAAGACCTTCTTCCTCCTTCTTCGGTGTGAATTTGTTTTCCTTAGAAAGAAATGTAAAATGATGTTTATATCAAAAACGGTCAGCGGTTAAAACCAGCGTGTAACATAAACTAAATCAAAATTCATGAAGCTAATATCTAAATTCTGAAATTTTTGTGACGTGTGCGCACTGGTTTTATTAAAGCAAAAACGTGGCCGCCTGAAATTGTGATAGAATCGGGGTCAGAAATATTACATGAGAAATACGCCATTGTTCGTGTTTGCTGTGCTAGCTAATTCCGCCATAAAATCTAAACGTTAGTCGAAGGAACACTTTAACCGAATCAGCACGTGGAGTTAACTTCCAAGAATTTTGGCAATTGAATTCGTCTTTTTTAGCAAAAAGAGCAACAGCCATTTAATACGCACTATTTTCAGAAAGCTATACTCACCTTACGTTGAATTATCGACCATAATTTCCCGAACGTCTTGCAAAAGGCACAAATTTGGCCAGCTTCAGAAGAACGGCTTTCCGTGTCGAAAGACTGATTGAGATGCAGGCAAGCTCGAGGTTTGTTATGAATATGGATCAGGCTTTTTGAACCAATCACTGACAAATACCTCAGAGTTGTCGATTTTTTTTCTCGGATTCTTCTTGAACCAACCAATCAGGAACTGCGAAAGGTAAAAGCAATTAACATTAAAACTGAAAAAGAAAACAAGACAGGTGTTACAACACAAGTAATGAAAAATATTTTTTGTTTTACAACTGACAACAATAATTTTTCTATAATTTAATTCTGTTATTATAAATGTTCTCTGATCAGATTTTATTAGCTTTTGAAGACTGGCCCGCTTAGATTAGCACAAGCTAACTGAGGGCCAGATTAGCTGCAACTTTTGTTTTAAAAATACAATAAAGATTGATGTTTTTGTTTAAAAAACAAAAAAGATTTGTGCCCTAAGAGGGAAAGAAAAACTCACTCAGACTACCGAGGTCGACCAAAATAAGTGAGCGCGTCAGTGAAGTTAAAACAGCAACAACAAAGACACGAAAAGCGAAGCGAAAAATATCAAAAAATGGGTGTAAAGAAGATAGAGGGAGAAAAAAGTTGATGAAATTGGAAAGAGGGATTGTCAAACAAAACAGAACGCGAATGCAAATGAATAATTAGAAAAGAGAATGTTCAATCCTTTACACTAACGTCAGTGTTCCCTGTCTCCATGCTGCTCTCTCTAACTGTCCTCAGTGTGGTACTGACAAAGCGAATTACATTGTTTGACAATCAGGAGCTTCTTAAATCGGTGATCATTTCCTTTATTCTCATGACCTTTACATTTGACTCAAGGTTGATAAAATAAGGAGATATTAGAAGCCAGTCACCCTCAGGGGATATGGGGGCTTAGGAAACGCTTTCAAAAGAGCTGGAAGGAACAGGACATTTACAAGCGAAATTGTTTGGTAATGGATATACAAACTCGACATCAACAAGCCTGAGCAACAGGCGCCTTGTTTCTTTCTCTTTTCCGCGTTTTATAAGCGAGCAGAGGGAAGTGAGTCGCGAGTCGCGCTATCATGTACACCTTCCCGCGCGCGTCTCGCACGAGACCCTCGCATCACGCTTGCCTCCTCGATTCTGAAAAACGCCTAAAAATGACGTCTATCCCATAGGATCTACTATTTCGGCCTTAAATAGCCAAGACCTATTGGTTTTTTCTCCCATTTGATGACATCACTTCTTTGTGTGTACGTCCCCGGAATTTGTTCTACTTCTTTACATCGTATATATTCCACGAAGCCTAAATGTCCTTCACTTTAGTGGAACTCTTCATATACTGTCTAAGAGTTAGCATGTAAATTATAACGACCTGCGTATCTAAACTTTATTGAGAATTGATGACCGATCATTCATGGGTATGACCCGAGTATCAGGCTTTCCAACGGAAGGGGGGATGGGGCCGAGCGAGGTCCGTTAGAAAGTCTAGAAGGGGGACTAGGGGCCGAGCGAGGTCCCTTAGAAAGGCTTTCTTTCTTTTTCTCTCCCCAACCTCCACCTCCGTTGGAAAGCCTGATATTCAGGCTATCCTAGGAGTAAATAGGTTAACAAAAAAAGGATTATTTATGAGGAAGAAACAGAAGGCACACGAAGTCGCGCTGTGTAAAAGATGACGCCTTAAAGAAACCAACCCTTATGCTGATCGAACAGTCCCTCGTCTCTGTTAGGGAACTATCAACAAATAATGTAAATGCAGAGAAATCTTTGATGCAAACAAATTTTAATGTATAAAATATGCCACTATTTACAAACTCTCAATATACAATTTCTTATAATCTCAATTTACAAAATCTTTCCCATAAACAGGGATTTCATAATTTATATTAAACATGACCTCACAGAACATGGAATTTACATTTATATTACAACGTGTAACTGTTTTTCCCATAAATCGAATTTTTTTTATTACTCGCACAACCGAACTTCTCTGACAAAGAGGGATTGCCCTTAGTCGTGAGTGATAACCTATTTAGAGATATCATGCAATCCACTAATTTTTCAAGTGTAACCCACGATGATGGACATTATGGGCCGGTTATTTAATCAAACTTTAGCCCTTGTTTAACAACACCGCGTTCTAAACTATCTTGAATTTAGCTGAATCTTTAACCTGAACATTTATTTTTGTGAACAGAGTAAAGGGAGCCAAAAATTAGCAGTAGAAGGACATGTATTTAATGGAAACAACCCTCTTGGGGAGGATACGTAAGGCCAACTGCTTGCATAAAACGGCGGTTTAGGTTAGACCTTGTGTAAATAACTGGCCCTGTAGGCTCTGGATTCCAGTTGTCATCATTAGTTAACCCTTAAACCCCTAAAAGCGAATAGCATCTAATTTCTCCTTACAATATCACCCCTGAATCAAACATTAATGTCATAAGAATAAAGGAAATGATCACCAACTAGGGAAGCTCTGTATTGTTAAACAAAATAAATTCTCCTTGTCAGCACCTTGATAAATGTACAGAGACCAGTATGGAGAATATACACACTGATGTTAGGACGTAAAGGGTTAAAGAGAGTAATTGAGTAGTGTGTATGTCTACCTCACCATCCCCACTACATTACATTTACATTGTCTCATTAATACTGAGTCAGAAGCTCATAAAATCACATCATTATATTCAACACTGAACGACCACACCCAAAGACAGTGTAACATTCTACAAAAGACCTGGACCCGGTTGTTTGATGGCCGAATGGTGCTAACACAGGGTTAAACTTTTATTCAGGTTTCTAAATTTCTCTGTTCAAAAGCTGTTTTGGGAGAAGTCCTCCAATTCTTTTTAGTGTATTCAATCATCAGATTTTAGACAAGTGGGATTAAGCCAATTTTTTTAAAAGCTTCCAGATCTGAAATCAAATTTCACACCAACCCTGGGTTATCTTAACCCAGCTTTGAACAACTGGGCCTGAAAATGAGTGGTTTGTAATATTTCATGACCATGAATTTCCATGAACTGTATTCCCTTGTATTAGTATCCCACATTTTCATAACCCAAAAATTTAGCTTGTTTTCAAAATAATTCTTTCTTTAGCTATTTGGTTTTTTTTCCCTTGAGGAAATCACACTCAATTCACTTGAGCTTCCAGGCCTTGAAGGTAATGAGATTTGCACTACAGTAATGAAAAAACATAAAAAATATTATCATGGAAAAAATGACAGATGATTGGATAACTCTAAATTTTTCACATCCTTTCATGGCGTGTACAAACCTTGTGTTTCTCAAGCAACAATACCTTCTAAAACCCAACATTACATTGTATTCCTGAACAATTTCATTGTTTGAATTAAGAATGGGTGGTGACATTATTTATGAACGGATTTTTATGAAGTTATTCTGTTTCCATTCGTTTGACATGCGGTAAGATCTCCCACTGTGGAATATGTAGATCAAACTCCAGAGCAATAACAACTTGGAATTCAAATCTAATGAGCTCTTTTGCTGATATTCGAAGCCTATCCTCTATGGCCTACAAGATGAAAAAAAAAATTTTACTCTGACAATCACTTTGATGATGACTCACTTTGTCTGATTTCTGCTCTAGTAATTACCACAGCTGATCAGAAGAAAGGCAAATCCCTCTAAGAGCGAATGAGAACTCAAAGTAAACGCATCCAAACTGCCTAAAGGTTAGCATCTGATTGGTTGAGAGAATGGTGTGGGTTTTCTAGACCAATCACAGAGCAAAGTAAACAAATGCAATGCAGTCTCAGATTATTTTCAACAGTCCATTGAAAATTTCTCTAGTAGATATATTCTGGAGTGTGATCCCCTAGAGGATGTTATTCCTGAAAAGAGCTGTTGCTGTTCATCAGCTTCAATGGAAGAGTTGTAAATTGGCATGATTTGGATGACATGATGGATGTTTGCTGCAGAAGTTTCAAACTGATTGCATGGAATGATTTCACGGTTGAAATTCACCATAATGACAACTGGATACCAACATGATTATTTCCATTCAAATTCTAAAAAGATGCATTATAACAAAGTAGCTGTGGTATCATACCTCAATGACCTCTTTGATTTTCTCTCTTTTCATATCACCATTAAATTTTGCAGCCAATAACAAGCAGGAACCTAAACATAAAAATTTGAAATTAGGATGGTTTCATAAACCCAACTACTGACAGACAAAAGAAAAATTATCTCCTCTTCACATTCCAAGTTAACCCTCTAGACACACTCAGTTCTAAAAATGTAAAAGCTATTTACATGTATAATAAAGTCAGAGAATCAATTTATAGAAAAAGAAGAAGAAAAAGAATGCCTACCTGCCAGAAGCTTTCTGTTTGCCTTAGTAATCTTTTCCTGTAAAAAAATATATTGTGTTCAAAAATGTGCATACACTGTAAGTCACAAATATTTAGCACGTGGTTACAGTAAAATGCACCGACACAGCAGGCTAATCCCAGAACATATGACCAGGACTGGCATTGCCTACTCATCACACCTTCCCACCTAAGGCAGGGGTTTATTGGATCAATTTCAACAACATAATAATCACTGCAAATTTCTATTCATGTGGTTAGCATAGAAATAAGTAACATGTTCTCAATATAAAGAAAGATATTTTTCGCCTTGTCACAAGTGTGGGACAAAGAAAAAATTTCAAGTCACCATGAGGAATCGAACCTCAGACCTTCAGATTCTGCGCTCTAATGCTCTCTCACTGAGCCACAGAGACTCTATGGTGAGCAAAGCCCATTATGAAGTTCATATTTAACACGCGTCCTGCATTCTGCCAGGTACTCCAATGCTCTACCATGTATGTTGCTACTGTATGTTGCATGTTATTGTTATTTTACAAGTTATTTTAACAGTTACACAACACAAAAGAAGTTTGGTATGATCCCTAAGTTTTTAGTTCAATATATCCCTAAGTGTTTAGTTCTATTCCTGCAGTGCTGAGAAAGAGAATTTGTTCAACATTAAACAGCCTCTTAAGTTGGTGATCATTTCCTTTCTTCTCTCGACTTTAACATTTGATTCAGGGGTGATATTGTAAGGAGAAATTACATGCTTGTCACTCTTAGGGGTTAAAGGGTTAAGCCAAAATTCCCTGAGCAAAAAATGAAATTTTACCTTCAAAATAAGTTTTTCAAAATAGACAAATGCATAACCCACTGTGGTTGGATCAAGCTGGCAATCCTGAGAAGCAGAGACATTAAGGTATTATTATCAATTATAATATTAACATAACCCTTCCAGCATCTACTTCACATGAACAGATTACTGAAGACAGTATAAGCAAAATTTAGATTGTACACCCCATAGCTTTCTGTGTCATGTCATACAAATATTAACTTAACATGGAACTAAAGCAACGAAGGAAAAAATAACAACAATTAAACTGTGTCAGATTATCCCAAACAACACATGAAAAATTTGCACAGCACTTGACTTGTAAGGTAATTCTGAGTCTTGGGCAAACTTACTTGTGATGCTATTTTTATAATATCTCTCTTTAAGCTGAAAAAAATAAAAAGTATCATAGTTAGGAACTTTTAAGATTCTCAAACTACCTTCAGCTAAACAGCATCTGCAATCAACAATTGACTGCATTCTGCTATTGAAACATTCATGATGTGACCATAGTCCTCCGTAACTGTTTTACAAATGGATTCCACGTTGTGGTATGTCTTTTCTTTTACAGATCACAGGTGACATCAAAATGTGGTCACAACAAAAAAGTGGCACATGAGGTACAGCCAAGTGTGTCCCTGATGTTCTCACCACAACTTGACACCTTCTGTGATCTATCATTGAACAGACCCACAACAATGAGGAATCTTTGATTTTTGTAATCAAGAAGAAAATTTTGTCAGTGATGAGATTATCTGGGTGTCTGTCCTTCAATAGATCAAGGATAGGAACCAATTGAAATGTATGTTTAATTCAGCTTATAATAACACATGATAGAAATCTCAAGCTCATAATCTACTTGTTAAAAGGGAAACAATCTTGTTACCTTCTTAATTTTGTGAGGGTAATGTTGAGATTTGGAAACTTTTCTCTGAATTGTTCATTCAGGTCTTTTTTCAGCTCAGAAGGCTTTGCATATGCCACCATGGATACCTGAAAAGCATATTCATTTGATATTTATATCTTCCCTTCCCTTTTTTACAGGAAAATACTTTGCCATTTCAGTTTTATGATATTTGGTGAAACATTGGTGTGGTAAGGGGGGGGGAGATATACCCCCATGAAATTTTTGTTTTTAGTGACACTTTGCCACAAATGAGGACAGTAATCTCGAGCATGAAAAAGCAGCGGTGGTAGATAGTGAGCTGTTGAAAGATGTTAAAGAATTACTGATTTAGAAATACTTCCTAATTTCCATATAAATTATACTTACCAAGTATGAAGTCAAGTTGAGAACCTTTCTGTGCCGACCTGATTTCAGTTCAGGATTATCAAGAAGAAGGGGATCGTACCAACTGGGTGATGGCAATGTTCCCTCGACATTCTCTGAAGGATACAAAGAATCAGAAAATTTTCACAACATTTTCAAAACTGAACACCTACATCATTACTTTGATAAGCAAGTCCTGAATATTATCATTTCATGTAACACAGGTTTCGATGAAAAAAAGCCCTTATAACCCCTTTTCTGGGAACAGCTGCCTATTACACTTCCATTGATGTGATGAAATTCTAGCTATGGATCTTTAATAATAAAAGTCTCAGATAAGAAGAGTTAACATTCATTTACCTGAAACAAGTCCTCCATTATCCATTGGTAAAGGTACAGATGGAGATCCTTTGTTGGAAACAGCTTCATTCCAAGCCAAGGGATACGTTGATATCAGAAATGATCTGTATGATACTGGCTAAAAAGGAACAAATTTAAATGAAAAGATATTTAGTTCACATACTTCAGATTACAGTTACTATAATAAACTTCTCACCTCTTCTGTCACTGCCAACCCAGTTAGTACTTGTTTCCATTTATCACTAAAACTAAATGACTTGTGTACCTTGTCAATTGTTCCAAGTTGAACCCCTTCAATACCAGCAGACTGGCTGGGTGTAGCTATGGATATCTTCTTGACACTACAAAAAAAGAATGGGAAATCATTTAATCATTTCTATTAATACCACAACCTCAAGCCAATTCATACATGGTAGAGAGATGATTGACCCTTTAACTCCCATGAGTGACCAAGACAGAATTTCTCCTTACAATATCAATACAATATCAAGCAGACAAGTGATGAGAAAAAAAATCAATTAAAGGATTATAAGTTGATCCAGTACCAGATTCTCCAAACTAACATCACAAGAACTGCATGGTAGACAGTAAGGAGAATTACTAATGAGATCTTGGGAGTTAAAGGATTAAGAAAGATAATGATTCTCGCAGGTGAAGTGCAATTTTAGCAATTGCAGAAAGTTAAGCTTGGAAAAATTCAAATGGCTTATTCATTCTAGATTGCTTACAAAATTGTATAATTAGTATTAGGTAATAACATGATTTCAAGTGCAATCTGGTGTTAATAAGCAAGAGTAAATTTTTCAAAGACAACAAAATTGCACAAGCCTGGAGGGCAAGTACAATTTGTAGTATTTGATAAATTTACAAGTGCTTGTTAAATAAAATTGCAAGAGAAATCATGTAATTACTTTTTGATAAAGTACAAGAAAAAACATCACAGAAAGTCAAGACAGACAAAATTGTGAAAGCGTATGCACACTATTTGTAATTTGCACCCATGTTACACCTTTGCACTGGTTTTACAACTTTGCACTTTTGTTACATGAGAATGCACTTGTTTTCAGCCACTCAGAAGCTTGTAATTTTTTCATGTACTTTATTATCTACAGAAATGGAAGAGTGTAAAATAAACCAAACAAAATGACTCATTGTAGATGCCAATCACTCTGATTCTTTGGTCTCACCTCATTCCTTCTTGGCCTGCTTCTTGGTTTTCCTTATGATATTTCAGGACAGAGTAGGTGGCCAGTGGAGCCTTTTGAGAAGAACACAAGACTATTCTGTAAACAAATGACATGCCAACTATTAGTCAGTGCTGAAATAAAATTTCAACCCCGAGTACCTTATTGAACGCAAGTTTTGTATCTTTTGTCTTTTCCTTGTTTGTATTGGCACCTAATGGGATTTGACCATAACAAATATGTATCAGTTATGTCCAACGTGTTGCTTATAAATTCACAGATAATGGATTGATGATTTTCTGACTGAATTCATTATGTGTCTCCATATTCAAATAATTGAATAAAAATTAACTGAATTTCAAAATTCAGCATTCCTGCCTGGGTAATTTACAGTCATGGTTTCCTAATAGTGAGATTCTTTTCAGATATTTCATTGGAGAAATTTTCAACAGAAACAATGAAATCAAATGAAAAAAGGTAGAGATTGTGCGGTAAAATCTTTGAGACCACCATAAAGGTTGCAATAGATCCCAGATGGTTGTAGCTTGCACAGTCAAATTTCTGAACCATATTACTGCAACTTTTTAAGACAAATCTCTTTCCATAGGACTGCAAAAATTTGTGGGAAATTGGAAGTCAACCTTTTGTCCTTTAAAGTACTGGTTCAACAATATTGTTCAAAGCACAAAGTTGTGCATGAGTTATCCAAGATAACCAAAGAAACTGTATAATGAACAATGAAAAAGATTAAGAAAATTATTGCAGAGCTTTTTTATCAAAATGGACCACAGCTTAGTTTCAAAATAATTGAAATAATATAAGATGATGGCAAGAAATGTGACATGTTTCAAATTTTTGAGACTAGAGACACTGATGGATTGTGTGGTTTTTCCATTAGATTATAGTTTGTACAACTTACAATTCCTTAATCTTCTCTAACCCTAATTTCAATTCCCCAATTACTTTGGGATGAACATAACACTCAGGAAAACATTTCAGGACAGAGCATTATTCAGTCCAATATAGAGCAAGTTAAAAGGAATTATTTGTTTCATAACCCTCCTTTTATTATCAAAATGTTATTTTTATTCAGTATATTTTGTATGCAGCTTTAAAAGGGATTTCAAACCAACAACGAGAAACAAAAGCAGATCGTAAATCTATTTCTTGACTTACTCCTTTTCCTAGCTTTGATTTGAACTCTATGTTGACATCCACCTTCTTATATTGCTTTGCTTTTTTATTTTTGTTGCCAAAATGTGTAACTAAGATTGGACAAATATCAAATCACTACACCATTCCTTAAGCATCCAAGACTGCAAAATTTCCCACATGCTATGCCAAGTCTAGGAATGCCTTTTGATTACCCAAGAACTTTTTAATTCAGACATGGAGTATATTCAGTTGACGGTATTCTCATGCTACTAGAGTTTTATCTGAAAATTCTGCATCACATAAGAAATATTGACAATATTGCTTGCAATCTGCCAGCCCCATACCACATGACGCAGTTTAACCAGAGTGGACGAGAAAACAATTTCCTTGGTTCCAAATAAATATATTGAACTATATTTGATTAAGTTGCAGAGTACTGTGTAGCTTAGCGGATTTTTTTCAAATAGATCTACAGAAACTTCAATAAATCAAAACAAGGCAGATTCTTTGGACAACGTAGTAAAGATTCAGTGTGGAACTCAGCTTTATCTTCATTGATAAAAGTAAAATTATCTAATAATAATTTGATAGAGGACTCTTTGATTAAATAATTTATGATCAAGAACACTTCATTAAATCTTAATTTTTTTGACACTATAGCTCGTTATAAGGGGACGACATGATTTGAAAAATCGCTTGTATTTGTAAAAGTGAATTTGCTCTCACCTCTTGTCATTTGCTCGTCTCTTGTGGTGGAAAGAAGATCCCGCCAAACACGAAATCCGATTCTTCGTACGTTGAAAACTAACACTCGTAGTCGAAGGGTCGTAGGACGATTCAGACATTGAAACACTCCTTCGTACCATTACGGAGCTCTCCTGACATTTTCTCTCATGAATAGCCTCCGTAACACTACGTTGTCTGTGTATTGATCGTTTGGAGCTGTCCTCAAAAGAGTCTCCACCGGAGGTCGAGGGTTCAGATACAGAGTGCAGCAGTTTATTCCTTGTCCTTCTTGTCGCTTCTAGCGGGAGGCCAGTGTCTCTACGATCGTGTTCATTGCTTTCTTTGGGACTAGCCTTTTCTTTTTTCCGTTCAGCTGCTTCCTTTGTAATATTTCCATCCAGTGAAATATTCGAAAGGAAAGCACATGCCGTAGCAGCACGCTTTGACCTTCCCTTACTAGGACGGCCAGCCGTCACAGCCGCCATATTGGCGGTTGTTGACAAATTGAGCCTCACCAGCCAGTGCCTGGGCTTCCGTAAATTGTACTCAACCTACCCCTGAAGACATAGCTGGATCCACAGGTCACCCAGGCGCGGCAGCCCAGACAGCTCTGCACATCGTGGAAACTTTCAAGAAAAATATTATTTATTCGAAGAGACAGAATTTTACCATTTCAATCAGCAACTAATGCTCAAAAGAGCAACGACGGTCCGAAGTTTGACTGGGTGACCCTATTCACCGGAATAATGGAGAAATGGAGAAATGGAGAAATGGAGAAATGGAGAAATGGAGAAATGGAGAAATGGAGAAATGGAGAAATGGAGAAATGGAGAAATGGAGAAATGGAGAAATGGAGAAATGGAGAAATGGAGAAATGGAGAAATGGAGAAATGGAGAAATGGAGAAATGGAGAAATGGAGAAATGGAGATATGGAGAAATGGAGAAATGGAGAAATGGAGAAATAGAGAAATGGAGAAATGGAGAAATCGAGGAATGGTGGAATAGAGAAATGATGGAATTGAGGAATGGAATAATGGTGGAATAGAGAACGAGGAATGGTGGAATAGTAGAATGGTGGATTAGTAGAATGGTGGAATAGTAGAATGGTGGAATGGCGGAATGACAGTATGGAAGAATGATGGAATGATGGAATAGTGGAATGGTAGAATGGTAGAATTGTACAATGATAGAATGGTGGAATAGTAGAATAGTGGAATGGTAGAATGGTAGAATGGTAGAATGGTGGAATAGAGGAATGATGGAAGGGAGGAATGATAGAATGGAGGAATGATGGAATGGAGGAATGATGGAATGGAGGAATGACGGAATAGAGGAATGACGGAATGGCGGAATGGCGGAATGGCGGATTGCCATGTTGTATGAAACAAAAGTCTCCCAAAAGTGGAAGCACAGTTTAATCATAGAACAGAAGCATAGTTTAATCATTATTGAGGATAGACCGATAGTGGAACACTGAGGTTCTTGAACTAGCCCCCTACTAGTTACCATTACTATTATTATTTTTATTTATCATTGTTCATATTATTATTTGTTACCAATAAATTATTGGTTGAGTGTCAATTATTCAACATTCTGGCATCTTTCTCTTGAGAATCGTAATAATTCGATTTGACGCGCCCGGGGCGCCTATTTACTTTTGGTACTTCAAGGGAGGGTGCTTATTTGAAACCGGGCGCCTAGTAGGGACAGGATGCTTATTTCTTTTAAAGAAAAAGAAGAATGTGAAACAAAGCATCGATGTATATTTGACTGAGGATCAAAAAGACTGGAAAACAGACTTGTCCCTGGATCCTTCCTTGCTAGAACGACTAGCTAAGCAATTATCGCAAAATTTTCAGACAGGATCTTTCGATTCAAGGAAATGTGCACTCACGGCGACATAAAAGTTTAGAGACTTTCTCCGTGAGGCTTAAAGTGAGCAATCAAATGAAGATGGACCATAGTTTATCTCAATGTACATGTACTCTAACTGAAGCAAAATAGGGGCGTTTATTGGAATAGGGGCGCTTACTCAGGAGGGGTGCGTATTGGAATGAGGGTACTTACTCTGTAGGGGCACTTACCAGAATAGGGGACCCTTATTAAAAAAAATTCGAAGGAAGGGGTGCCTATTAGAAAGGGGACGATTATTGGAACGAGGGCGCTAAATCGAATCATTACGATACTTATAAATATGTGGGGTGCGGTAGGTTTTCTGTTTTTAGACAAATCCTCTGCAACAGTACCCTCAAGCATCATTATGCAACATCTAGTTCCTTTCAATGCTATAAAAACTGTGCTATATCAGTAGCCAAATGCAGTCTTAAGGTGGCAATCTTTTTTTCATTCAAGTCCAAATGGTGCAAATCAGAAGGGGTCATCAGTTAAAGTCAGAGAAATGTTTCCTTCTCGAGTTCAAACTGAAAAAACACCGACAGCATTAATGAAAGAAAAAGTAAACAAAACAACTTCTTTTACGATGCTATTCCAGTTTTTCCTTGCCTTTCTCACTGCAGCCCTTAATAATCTTTGATCCGTAAAAAGCTGTGAGACGAGATCAGTAGAGCGATACGGAACTTTGATAAAGCTACGAGTGGAAAAAGAGACGATGGGTAAGATTTCATGGCTGTTTACCAATTTCAGGAGCCATTACTTGAGCTCCAGCCAGTCTACAATTTCGAACAGACAATTTTTTTTACCGATAGAATTTTTCTTTTAGATATACAAGAGATTTTGGTTGCTGCCTGAAATTTCAGTTCGTCGAGATAACTGAATTTCTACACTAAGGGTCGTTATTTATCGGGGGAGGGGTGGGGGAGCTCGGTGGATTTTAGCTGTAATATACTTATGATCCCCCTGAGAGGCAGTTAACTGACAGTTAATTAGTAGTCAATTTTCCATAGTCCTCCATTTATACTCTGTTGGCGACGACTGATCCCCCTTCCACTCCCCCCTTAAGACCATGTGATCCCCCCCAACGTCCCCCGTTACCCCGTTCCTAAGTCCCCCCTCTCGGGCGATAATAGGTGGTCCTCAAAATAGAAATTGTCTTTGCGGAAAACTGATTGCTCCGTGCTTTCAGCTGTTTATACATGAAAGAGAAAATATTTAGCTATTTAAGATATGACAGAGTTCGAGAACTAGTGATTATCTACTTTTTTTTCGACAGGGTTATTGGAAAAAAAGGTGTAACCGTCACCTTAACTGTCTTAAATTAATGATAGCAACACGTACTGTTACGTTGACAGAGTTTGTTCAAATAATATTTTCTCCACTAGACAATTCAATAGCCTTATAAAAAGGTTTTCTTGTCTTGGGGCAGCCTGTAATTTACAACAATATAATGATATTTTAACAACACCACAACTGTCCAATAATTCCCTTTACTTTTTTTCTCACCTCTCCGATCTTCCAACAGTACAGGACCGGGTTTAGAGATGAGTTTATGAAAATCATAGTCTCTGTAGCCATCTTTGGCACCACACTGTCAAGCATTTTTGTTCCAGCTAATATTCCATAAGGAACATAACACACAAATAAAGCAAACTGCACCCACAAAATGCTGGACACCGTTTTTTTGTACCTTACTATGTTCAGCTGATTCCCTAATTCGCTAAGACGTCCTTGGGGGAAGTTGTTTCGTATTTGGATTTGATGCTGTCGTAACTTAAGGTATATCTTGACAAAAGAGGAAATTGAAGTAATCAGAGACAGCGCAATGAAACTAGAGGATAACTTTTGTCCAATGTCTCTTCTCCAAACCCAGAGCGCTACAAATAGAGCACCAGTAAACCAAAAAGAAATGACAACATAACGAATTCGACTGAAGGTTACGACATGTTTGTATCGCATACCCAGCATCAAGGCAAGAAGTCTGTCCACATTGATTGCAGTTGACGTCAAAACAGATATCCCACATAAAATGTTTGTTAAACCTCCGCCAACTTTAAAAATATAATACAGACTATTCACGTTCATCTCTCTTACATGGAGCATAAAGTAGGCGCAGAATAGTGGTTGTACAATAAAACCGACGCAAAGATCAGTCACCGCTAAGCACTGAAAGAGTAGTTTTGTCGGCTGATGAATAGAAGTCACTCGCCGGAGAGCGAAGAGGATAAGAACATTGCCAAGAAATGCCGTGAAGGCAAGAAAAATGTTCAGACCTGAGAAAAATTCTACTACACCTGTTGTAGTTTTGCTGATAGCTTGACTTAGTTTCACCACTTGGTCTATATTTCCAGAACTGCCGGCCATTATGGTTTGGTTAAATCATCTGCCATCATATGATGCTTGCCCTGATGTTGCTCGGCGTTCTTTAGTAGCGTATGGACGATTTTTTTACGTCAGCAGAATAATTCAGTCAATCGTGTTTAATGATTTGAGGGTGTTTGGTACCCATAGCTGGTGTGATCGCCACTTTTTAAGTACTTTTGTTTTGTCAGCGTGTAAGCGCGTTGTCATACGTGATCGAATAGGCAGTCACTCTCTTGGAAATAGAGTTACTTCCTTATCTGTAATGATCAAGATATAACGATGAAGTTTCTTTTCATTAAAACCCTGACAGACCTCGGAACACCTGTATCAAATGTCACGTAGCGCACCAAGGTAGTCATCAGTTAAGCTAACAGAACAGGCGAACGTCACATTTGCATGTTTGCTTGCATTTAAATCGTGTACTCCTCGTGACAGGTCAGCACGTATTTTAAGTTGTGTTTCACAATCGTCTTTTCTATTTGTATATAGGTAATTAAGTCAATGTCCTAAAGGATGTCTGCTGTAATAACTTAATCTTCGGCTTTAATTGATCTTAGCTAATAAGAGTTTGATTTCATCGAATAGATGTGGGGTGCTCTCAATAAGACAAGATTTATTGAAAATGGTTCTTACACAGGTCTAGCTCGAGAAATGATATCCTCAAATCCCATTCGAAAAAAAAAATTCAAAATTCTAGGGGTACTTTGGACTTAAAAATCTGTCTAGAATTCCAAACCCTAAAAGTTGCATTTAACAGTCGAGTGAAGTCCATAGATGCAGTGTTTCAAGCCGGTTTTAACGGAAAATTTAACATTGGTTCATTAATTATTAAACTTTGGTCCCACCTCCTGGAAAAGATTTCTATGTACTGAAATTGATGAGGTCTCAATTCGTAACTATACTGAGTTTAAAGATCAACTTAAATTTCTGAAAGCAGTGAATGCATAGAAAAATTTTCACCTTCTTTAAAAGCCCATTTCCAACCTTGATGCAACGCGGTCGTTTGTCTTTGTTTTGAACCACCGCTTTTGTTTAAATGGCGCCTCTGATTGGTCAGTTATTTTTACCTTGTCAAGTCTCAAAATACCTTCTGCGTTTTCTCCAATGAATTTGGAGAGCTTGTCAAAATAATTATGATTAAAACAGTTCTATAAGTTTTAATCCGGAATGGAATCAGATGAATCCATTGATTTAGTAGTTTCCGAGGCAGCGAACGCTTATGGATCGGTTGTTGCTAAAGAGGAACATGAAAATCCTCACAAGAATTTCGAAGAAGGTGAAAATGTTGATCCACCACGTTTTCATTCATTCATCAATTTTTTTAATTGAAGTTTGCCACCCTTGGTAAATAGGACCAAGGGTCAGTTGAAGTTTCATGTCCGTGCCGGGGGAGGAGCTTGTGCTCGAAAGAGTGGTCGAGGTTGTTGTCCATGCAAAGCAGCAAATAAGAATGGTAACGTAAACTGTCAGTGTCGCTGACGTTCCTGCTATGAAGTGACTAAACTTAAGATAATTAAACGTCCGGCAGTCCGATATTTTTCCATATTTCTCACGAAAATGTTCTACCTTTATTTACAATCCTCAAGCGCTTCCAGGCAGCCTAAAATTTCGAACTTGATATTTTTCGCTAACACTGTACACAGAGTACGAAGAGATCCAAGCGTGACACTAAGAAAATTTTCACCGAACACTACCGGACACGGTCCTCGAATAACTAAACGTCCGGCAGTTTGATGTTTTTCCATATTTCTCTTTAAAAAATACCAATTTCTATTGGAAATATTTTATCTCCATTAAGAATCCTCAAGCGCTTCTAGAAAGTGAAAAAATTTGAACGTTGTCCTTTTCGCCGACTTGGGAAACTGTAAAATGACGAACGATGAATGTATTTACCGTAACACAGTTGACTATGGATGGCTCTTGAGAAAGACGATTTTAGAAGGTTTTTAGTTATCTGGGAATTTCGTGTTACAGGAAATTGGATCGCGGCGCGCGTTACATCAAGGTTGGAAATGGGCCTCTCTTCCTCTTGGGCCACTTTTCACTATTTTCATACTGCAATGTGTGAAATTACTGCTTAAACTATTGCTTTCAGTTTCTCCTGAATTTTCCTTTTACAACCACCTGTCTCCCTCGTACTAAATTATTCAAACGATAAACTTCCTTTTGTTAACAGTCTTCAATCATGATTTTTACGCTCTTTAATGTAATGGCGATAAATGACGATTCAAGTTTTGATTACCAACTAAAACCATAGGGTTTTTTTTTCTCAATATTCAGTGCTTCTCCATCCAGAATCTCTCATACACTGCTATAAATTAACACGATCAGTTGCGTCAAAAGACACCCCAACCCCTCTTGCGGCTGCTGTTTCTAATTTGTCTTGTATTTGTTTTTCTCCTCTGTGGGTGTTTTTTATTTAAATTCTCGCTGACCGATCGACAGAGTTGTATTTATTCTTGAGAGTAAAATGCTTATATACCATGCGTTACAAAATCCTGCTAATCAGAATATAACAAAGAGGGGGTAAGTTTCTAAAGAAACTGTGGTGCTGCATCAGTGGGATATTACAAAATAATTACTGCTTAAATACTGCTAATTAGGATGAAGGAAAGAGGGTAAGTTTCTCAAGAGACTGTGGTGTTGCATCAGTGGGGGAAGTTACGAGATAATTTGGTTTCATGAACTGAGTTCATAATGCAACTTGGTTACCATGGAGAGTTTTAAGAATGGAATGGAGGAAACCTTTGAATTTTCGCCAATGTTGTACCCAACTTTTGCTCCGCTGAAATTTAGGAAGAGGTGATACTTCTCGTTTCGTTCATACGTTTTCCTTTGATATTTGCAGTTAACTTGCATTCTTTGTATTCTATGACGTGTTTTTTTGTTCATAAACGTTCAGAAGTTTTAAAAGTGTTGCCATGACGGTTCAGTAACCAACTAGTCAGTTGAAAGCCATTGAAAATGAATTCGTCACGCAACACTTTCATTTTCTTTCCGCTCTACTTTCTGGGTTTATTAAGCGCTCACTCTGTTTACGAGCGTAATAGGCCACGCGTGACGTTGGGAACACATGAGGAAAATTTGTAAATTACAAGCCGCTGGCGAGTGATTTTTATATAATAAGCTCAGTTATGCACGCATTCTGATTGGTTCTCACTTATGATCTATTGGAGGACAGACGTATAGATGACGTATAGCTGCGCCTCGTGTGCCACTTCTTTGTTCTTACCACATTTTGACGTCATCTGTGATCTATTACTGAACAGACGCACGGTAACTTGGAATCTATTTGTTTTATATAATAAAGAATTAAAAAAAGTTTTAATGATGACGTCATCTACACGTCTGTCCTCCAATAGATCATTCTCTGTGGATTTACCGGTGCAATGAACGATAGGTTTTTGACCGATCAGGGCGCTTTTAGAGTCAAACAAAGTATTTTGTCTGGTTACGGTAACTTCCACAAAACTTTAAGATTTTTTCTTTGCACTTTCCTCAAATTGAGTCAGATTTCGAAGAAAGAGACTCAGTATTGTTATGACTTTCAAAAGTTTATCACCGTCATACATAGATAGGAAGACCAAGAAAAAGTGATAATTGATGATAACACGCAACCCGAGATGCTTCATCATACCAGTAAGAGAGCAGTGTAACAATACATTCACAAATCCAGAATTCTGCCTTACAATTTTCGAAACTTCTGTCATATTCTCTGCGAACTGTCCAGCTACATTTCACGTTACCATTTTCGGCCACCTATCCCTTCAACACACTTTAACCCTAATTTTTTCCTTCCAGACTTAGTTTCAATTCTCTCTTCTTTCCTGGTACTGGAGAAAGATGGCAAGGGAGGCACACTTTAAAAGAACAAGGATACCGCTTTCCGTCTTTCATTGTAAATCCGTTCTGTTCATTCAAAAACTTTCTTCTCCCCTTTAAACAATGTAGTACAATATCGTTTTAGGTTCCAGTAAGGAACTTTTGTGCAGTACAGTGGGTCACATTGAGTCACATCTGGTTTAAGTCTGTCCCTGAATAGTATTCAAGTTATATTAAGTGGTGTGGAAAGGGCGTGTTTTCCTACCCTTAGTGAAATATACCCTTTAATACACGAGCATAGCTTTTTGTCAGATACACACAGAAATCTAAACAGGACTTTGCCCAGTTATGAACTCATAGCCTGGCCTCTTCTAAGGTTGATGTACTACAGAAAGGACTGGATTCTTGCATGCTATTCGCAGTGCTTAATAGAAAGATACAGGGAAAAAATAGACTTTTATCCATTCCGTAATGAAAATAAGCAACCAGATATCAACGTTGTAAGCATTAAAGCCTACTTTATTCATAAACAAAGCACCAAGCATAGTAAGCTGTATGAGCAGTACAATCAATTTATAAATGTTTGCTAGCAAAGTGGAGGGGAACAGGGGCATGGTCATTACATGAGGTAACAAAACAGGATGTCATCTCAAAAAGAGAAACAAACAAACAAAAGAGAACAGAGGACATATAATGCTTTCAATGCAAAAATTGGCAAAACATCAGAATAAAGGTGGGAGCCTGGAATGGCAAAGGTAAAAAAGAAAGAAGTTCACTTCCACAAAAGAACTTTACTGTATCCAGGAAATAAACAAGTTTACAAATGGAATTAGTGTGCATTAAGTCACTTAACTTAGCTACATGTAATCCAGAATAAGAGATATATTTAACTTTTAAGCATCTACACTAATAACATTTTGATGAGGAAAAAATGGCTTTGAATCATGTTGATTGATCTTTTCATTCCACTCATTCCAGGGCAAGCAGCTCTACATCAAATATCAAGAGCACATTTTGAGGGATAGTGTAAATGGTTAAGGAAAAGACTCAGAGTTGTACTATAATAATAATCGACTATAATAATCATTTAAAATCTCACTTGTTGTAGTAAAAAGAAGACCATGATTGGCCCCTGAATGACATTTCGGCAAACTTTTCCTTAAAGTTAAGGAATGTTGGCTAAATAGTTTGAACTTTATAAATAGAAATGATGATTATTAGAAATAAACTTTAGCTGGATTTATCTCTTGGTAGGTTCAAACTTTAGTACCTAGAGATTTGTGTAATCCATAGTCAAAACAACTGAAGCCCACCACTATTATGCACGCCTTACCATTTGCAATTTGAGTAAAGAGTCAATAAAGATGTCAATATCAGTAGCCAAATGCAGTCTTAAGCTGCCAATCTTTTTCTTCATTCAAGTCCAAATGGTGCAAATCAAAGGGGTTATCAGTTAAAGTCAGAGAAATGTTTCCCTCTCGAGTTCAAATTGAGAAAACACCGACAGCACTGATAGAAGTAAAAGTAAACAAAATAACTTCTTTTACGATGCTATTCCAGTTTTTCCTTGCTTTTCTCACTGCAGCCCTTAATGATCTTTGATCCGTAAAAAGCTGTGAGACGAGATCAGTAGAGCGATGCGGAACTATGACAAAGCTGCGAGTGGAAAAAGAGACGATGGGTAAGACTTCCTGGCTGTTTACCAATTCTTGAGCTTCAGCCAATCTACAATTTCGAACAGGCAAGTTTTTTCTACCGATAGAATTTTTCTTTTAGATATACAAGAGATTTTGGTTGCTGCCTGAAATTTCAGTTCGTCGAGATAACTGAATTTCTACATTTAGGGACCAGTCATTGTTAATCGGGGGTGGGGTGGGGAAGCTCGGTGGATTTTGGCTGTAATATACATATAACCTCCCCTGAAAGGCAGTTAACTGACAGTTAATTGGCAGACAATTTTCCATAGTCCTCCACTTATACTCTGTTGGCGACGACTGAGCCCCCTTCTGCTCCCCCTTAATACCATGTGATCCCCCCAACATCCCCCGTTCCCCGTTCCCCGTTCTTCCCGTTCTCCGTTCTCCGTTCGTCGTTCCCCGTTCCCCATTCCTCGTTCTCCGTTCTACCTTTCTCCCGTTCCCCCGTTCCCGCTTTCTCCCGTTCTCCCGTTCTCCCGTTCTCCCGTTCTCCCGTTCTCCCGTTCTCCCGTTCTCCCGTTCTCCCGTTCTCCCGTTCTCCCGTTCTCCCGTTCTCCCGTTCTGTTCTCCTGTTCTCCCGTTCTCCCGTTCTCTCCGTTCTCCCGTTCTTCTCCCTGTTCTCCCGTTCTTCTCCCGTTCTCCCGTTCTCTGTTCTCCCGTTCTCCCGTTCTCCGTTCTCCCGTTCTCCCGTTCTCCCGTTCTCCCGTTCTCCCGTTCTCCCGTTCTCCCGTTCGTTCTCCCGTTCTCCCGTTCTCCCGTTCTCCCGTTCTCCCGTTCTCCCGTTCTCCCGTTCTCCCGTTCTCCCGTTCTCCCGTTCTCCCGTTCTCCCGTTCTCCCGTTCTCCCGTTCTCCCGTTCTCCCGTTCTCCCGTTCTCCCGTTCTCCCCCGTTCTCCCGTTCTCCCGTTCTCCCGTTCTCCCCTTCTCCCCTTCTCCCGTTCTCCCGTTCTCCCGTTCTCCCGTTTCGTTCTCCCGTTCTCCCGTTCTCCCGTTCTCCCGTTCTCCCGTTCTCCCGTTCTCCCGTTCTCCCGTTCTCCGTCCCCCCTCTCGGGCGATAATGATAATGGTCCCTAAAATAGAGATGATTTTTGCGGAAAACTGATTGCTCCGTGCTTTCAGCTGCTTAGACATGAAAGAGAAAATATTTAGCTATTTAAGATTGACAGAGTTCGAGAACTAGTGATTATCTACTTTTTTCTCGACAGGGTTATTGGAAAAAAAGGTGTAACCGTCGTCTTAACTGTCTTAAATCAACAATAGCAACACGTACTGTTACGTTAACAGAGTTTGTTCAAATAATATATATTTTCTCCACCAGACAATTCAATAGCCTTGTAAAAAACATTTCCTCGTCTTGGGACACCTTGTAATTTATAACAATATTCTAATATTTTAACAACACCACAACTGTCTAATTATTCCCTTTACTTTTTTTCTCACTTCTCCGATCTTCCAACAGTACAGGACCGGGTTTAGAAAAGAATTCATGAATATCAAAGTCTCTGTAGCCAACTTTGGCACCGCACTGTCACGCATTTTTGTTCCAGCTAATACCCCATAAGGAACATAACACACAAGTAAAGCAAACTGCACCCACAAAATGCTGGACACCGTTTTTTTGTACCTTGCTATGTTCAGCTGATTCCCTAATTCGCTTAGAAATCCCTGGGGGAAGTTGTGTTGTATTTGGGTTTGATGCTGTCGTAACTTAAGGTATATCTTGACAAAAGAGGAAATTGAGGTAATCAGAGACAGCACAATGAAAGTAGCGGATAACGTTTGTCCAACGTCTCTTCTCCAAACCCAAAGCGCCGCAAATAGAGCACCAGTAAACCAAAAAGAAATGACAACATAGCGAATTCGACTGAAGGTTACGACATGTTTGTATCGCATACCCAGCATCAAGGCAAGAAGTCTGTCCACATTGATTGCAGTTGACGTCCAAACAGATACCAAACATATAATGCATGTTAAACCTCCGCCAACTTTAAAAATATAATACAGACAATTCGTGTTCATCTCTCTTACATGGAGCATAAAGTAGGCGCAGAATAGTGGTTGTACAATAAAACCGACGCAAAGATCAGTCACCGCCAAGCACTGAAAGAGGAGTTTTGTCGGCTGATGAATAGAAGTCACTCGCCGGAGAGCGAAGAGGATAAGAACATTGCCAAGAAATGCCGTGAAAGCAAGAAAAATGTTCAGACCTGAGAAAAACTCTACTACACCTGTTGGAGTGTTGCTGACAGATTGACTTAGCTTCACCACTTGGTCTATATTTCCAGAACTGCTGGCCATTATGTTTTGGTTAAATCATCTGCCATCACATGATGCTTGTTCGGCGTTCTTCAGTAGCGTATGGACGATTTTTTTACATTGGGAGAATAATTCAGTCAACAGTATTTAATGATTTGGGGATATTTGCTACCCATATCTGGCATGATCGCCGCTTTTTATCTACTTTATTTTGTGAATGCAATCATTTGAATCTGTCAGCGTGTAAGCGCGTTTTCATACGTGATCGAATAGGCAGTCACTCTCTTGGAAATGGAGTTACTTCCTTATCTGTAATAATCAAGATATAAAGTTTCTTTTGATTAAAACCCTGACAGACCTCGGAACACCTGTATCAAATGTCACGTAGCGCCCCATGGTAGTCATTAGTTAAGCTAATAGAACAGGCGAACGTCACATTTGCATGTTTACTGGCATTTGAATCTTGTACTCTTCGTGACAGGTCAACACGTATTTTATGATTAATTTAAGTTGTGTACCACAATCGTCTTTTCTATTTGTACATAGGTAATTAAGTCAATGTCCTAAAGGATGTCCGGCTGTACTTTGAACTTCGGCTTTAATTGATTTTAGCTAATAAAAGTTTAATTTTATCTCCATTTTGTCTCAATAAGACAAGATTTACTGAAAATGGTTCCTACACTTCTAGCTCGAAAAATGGTATCCTCAAGCAAATCCCATCCAAAAAAAAAATTCAAAATTTTAGGGGTGCATGCTTTGGACTTAAGAATCTGTCTAGAATTCCAAACCCTAAAAGTTGCATATAACAGTCGAGTGAAATCTATAGATGCAGTGTTTCAAGCCGGTTTTAACGGAAAATTTAACATTGGTTCATTAATTATTAAACGTTGGTTCCACCTACTGGAAAAGATTTCTATGTACTGAAATTGATGAGGTCTCAATTCGTAACTATACTGAGTTTAAAGATCAACTTAAATTTCTAAAAGCAGTGAATGCATAGAAAAATTTTCAACTTCTGTAAGAGAACCACACACTTGATTTTCTTTTTCCTCGTTCAGAGGTGTTAAAAGTGTTGCCATAACGGTTCAGTGACCAATTAGTCAGTTGAAAGCCATTGAAAATGAAGTCGTCACGCAACACTATCGTTTTCTTTCCGCTCTACTTTCTGGGTTTATTAAAGCGCTCACTCTGTTTACGAGCGTAATAGGCCACGTGTGACGTTGGGAACACATGAGCAAAATTTGTAAATCACAGGCCGCTGGCGAGTGATTTACAGCCTTTTTGATAGAAGGTGCGGTCTAACGCTTTTACGAAAGAAACCTCAATTCTCTGTGGATTTACCGGTGCAGTGAACGATAGGCTTTTGACCAATCAGGGCGCTTGTAGAATCAAACAAAGTATTTTGTTTGGTTACGGTAACTTCCACAAAAGTTTTTTTCGTTGCACTTTCCTCAAATTGAGGGTCAGATTTCGAAGAAAGAGACTCAGTATTGTTATCACATTCAAAAGTTTATCACCGTCATACTTAGATAGGAAGACAAAGAAAAAGTGATTATTCATGATAACACGCAACCTGAGATATTCCATACTGATACCAGTAAGAGAGCAGTGTAACAGTACATTCACAAATCCAGTATTGTGCCTCACAATTTCCAAAACTTCTGTCATATTCTGTGCGAACTGTCCAACTATATTTTCATGCAACCATTTTCGGCCACTTATCCCTTCAACACACTTTAACCCTAATTTTTCCCTTCCAGACTTAGTTTCAATTCTCTCTTCTTTCCTGGTGCTGGAGAAAGATGGAGATGGGCAAGGGAGGCGCACTTTAAAAGAACAAGGATACCGCTTTCCGTCTTTCATTGTAAATCCATTCTGTTCATTCCATAACCTTTCTTCTCCCCTTTAAACAATGCAGTACAATATCGTTTTAGGTTCCAGTTAGGAACTTTTGTGTACTGCAGTGGGTTACATTGAGTCACATCTGGTTTAAGTCTGTTGGTTGCGGTTACAAACGAAACTAAAGCGCTGAATAGTATTCAAATTATATTAAGTGGCGTGGAGAGGGGGTATTTTCCTACCCTTGGTGAAACATACCCTTTAATACACGAGCATAGCTTTTTGTCAGATACACCCAGAAATCTAAACAAGACTTTGCCCAGCTATGAACTCAAAGCCCGGCCTCTTCTAAGGTTGTTGTGTTACAGAAAGGACTGGATTCTTGAATGCTATTCGCAGTGCATAATGCTTAATAGAAAGATGCAGGTATTGCACAATCATTACATTGGAAAAAGGGATGGGCAAGGGAGGCGCACTTTAAAAGAACAAGGATACCGCTTTCCGTCTTTCATTGTAAATCCATTCTGTTCATTCAAAAACTTTCTTCTCCCCTTTAAACAATGTAGTACAATACCGTTTTAAGTTCCAGTTAGGAACTTTTGTGCACTACAGTGGGTCTGGTTCAAGTCTGTTGGTTGCTTGTAATAAGTTGTGTGGAAATGGCGTGTTTCCTACCCTTGGTGAAATATACCCTTCAACACACAAGCATAGCTTTTTGTCAGATACACCCAGAGATCTAAACAGGACTTTGCCCAGTTATGAACTCATAGCCTGGCCTCTTCTAAGGTTGATGTATTACAGAAAGGACTGGATTTTTGCATGCTATTCGCAGTGCTTAATAGAAAGATACAGGAATTGTACAATCATTACATTGGGATAAAATAGACTTTTGATCCATTTCGTATTGAAAATAACCAACCAGATATATCAACGTTCTAAGCATTAAAGCCTACTTTATTCATAAACAAAGCACCAAGCATAGTAAGCCGTATAAGCAATACAGTCAATTAACAAACATTTGCTAGCAAAGTGGAGGGGAACAGGGGCATGGACATTACATGAGGTAATAAAACAGGATGTTATCTCAAAAAGAGAAACAAACAAACAAAAGAGAACAAAGGACATAAAATGAGAGATAGGTAACAAGAAATAATGTTTTCAATGCAAAAATTGGCAAAACATCATATTAAAAGGTGGGAGCCTGGAATGGCAAAGGTGAAAAAGAAAGAAGTTCACCTCCACAGCAGAACTTTACTATATCCAGGAAGTAAAAAAGTTTACAAATGGAATTAGTATGCCTTAAGTCACTTAACTTAGCTACATGTAATCTAGAATAAGAGATATATTTAAACTTTAAGCATCTATACTAATAACATTTTGATGAGGAAAAAATGGCTTTGAATCATGTTGATTGATCTTTTTATTCCACTCATTCCAGCCCAAGCAGCTCTACATCAAATATCAAGACAGCATTTGGAGGGATAGTGTAAATGGTTAAGGAAAAGACTCAGAGTTGTACTATAATAATAATTTACTATAATAATGATTTACTATTAAAACAATTAAAAATTTCACTTGTCGTAGTAAAAAGAAGACCACAATTGGCCCCTGAATGACATTTCGGCAAACCTTTCCTTAAAGTTGAGGAACGTTGGGTAGATAGTTTGAACTTTATAGATAGTACCTTAAAAACTTCTCACAGCCAATTTCTTTGCCTTCATAAAACAGGAAACAAAAGGAGAGCAAATGCAATGACAAGTGTCAATTTTGAGGTTCTTATAGTTTTTCAAATGATCGGTAGGCTCCACACTTTCTTGATTGAAAATGCAGAGCAAAACCTAAAGAGAGCACCAAACTCAAGAAGGAGACCCTGGGGAATACCTCCTGCTTTTGCTTTGGTGTCCCCATCATCAAAAATTTCCATCTTCCGCTCCCCTTAAGCAGCAGTATCAAAAATGTAAAAAAGGATATACACCAGGGACCCCTCTGCCTCCATACCCAAAGTCTGGAGAACAAGTAAGCTTTGCTCGTTGACCTACGCACATCTGTAACAAAAGAAATGAACTTTAGCTGGATTTATCTCTTGGTAGGTTCAGACTTTAGTACCTAGAGATTTGTGTAATCCATAGTCAAAACAACTGATGCCCATCACTATTATGCATGCCTCATCATTTGCAATTCGAATAGAGTCAAAATTCTGTCTATTTACCGCATAGTGACAGAAATAAAATAATGTTTTGATTTCTGTGAGATATCTACCAAAATAATTATCACCTCAGTGTGGGAGAAAGTGATGGATATTTAAGTGGCTGCTTTGTAGCTTGGTAAATATCTATTATCATTCACCTCCACTTAATGAATAACTGTTCGATAAAATAATTATTTACAAGTATATATAATTACAGAACAAGCTAATTTAACAAAACTAATACTAAAAGTAACAATTTTTTAAGCTGTCAAAAAGTGCTCTATCTGAGAGCAATCTTATTGTGAATAAATATAATTTGTTAATTATTCATTAACATGTAAAAACAATCAATCAATAAATAAATAAATCAATAAATCGCCAAATTCATGTTTTATCATAGAAATAACTTATTGCCTCCATTGCTTCTCAATCTTTTTGTAACCAATAGCCAAATTCACAACTATGGTACCAGAACAGCCAGTAATTATCGAACACATTTGTGCCGTACCAATCTCAAGCAATTTACAATTCTTTACCAAGGTCCTAAAATTTGGAACTCTCTTCCTGTTTCGGTCACTCGTTCATCAAACCTTCTTAGTTTTAAGACGAAAATGCAAGAGTTTTTACTTAAATAATCCTTGAATTGGCCTAGCCGCACATTCGCAGCACTTTATCTTTACTTTATTTATTAATGTAAGTGAGGTGGCTCTCCCATAAGCCCGGTGGCTTCCTGGGTCTCCTCGCCTTCTAGCTATAACCGCTGTAAATAAATTTTTTTGTATTGTGTAAATAAGGCAAATAAAAAAAATATGATGATGAATATTACCTGAGCTACTCCTTCATCCCAACCTAAAAGATGCCAAGAAACATGCATATTAAACAATAATAAGCAAAAAAGAATCCTAACTTGCAGATGCTAAGGGAAAGTGTTAAGAGCTCTGCCAAACATTGTGTCTTTGTAGGAATGCTATGAACCAAAAACAGTTTGACCTTTCCTTCAAAAAAAAAAAAAAAAAAAAAAGGGAGAGAGAAAAAATAAAACAGGATTGAAACAAGGACTGGAAAAAAAACCCAAAAAAATGGTCAGTGACCAGGATTTTAATAGAGATTGGGGGGATGGGGAGAACATTCAATTATGAATGAACATCGCAAGGAACTGCACCTGATACCTCTTATTAACCTTGTTTTTATGATTTGCACTGTAAGTTACAGCCAAGTTTTTTCTGCTCAGATTTATGACCCAAGAGTGAAATGGGAAAACATTCAATTATGAATGAACATCTCAAGGACCTGCAGAAATAAATACCTCTTATTAACCCTTTTTTATGATTTGCACTGTAAGTTACAGCTAAGTTTTTTCTGCTCAGATTTATGACTTAAGAGTGAAATGCCCTTGCCATAAATTGAAGTGGTGCTATAACTTACATAATTGTTTCGCTAACATTGCAATATGGTGCAAACCCTCTGATCTGATTGGCTACCTGAGTGGGCAAGATGGGCCCATCAGGGAGGGAGGGAGCACACTTACAAAGTTCAAAATATTTGGACAATGTTAGCAACAGAGTTGCAAAAAAGCAGCAGAAGAAGGTCAAAACAAAGAAAACAAACACAGCTGGCTTTCTTCACCAGCTCTTGAAATAATCAAGTCATTCTTGATTCTTATTTGGTTGTGAAAATTTCAGAAAAAATGATAAATATTAGGTACGTAATGGCATCCTGTGCCATATAGCACTCTTGGGCAGTAAATAAACCAAAATATTTCACTATATACTAAATCCTTTATTGACCAATCTTGTTCTGTCAAGATGGCTGGATAGTAGCCTTGTTCCTTTCCTGCATTTATATGGACCTCGACTTTGTCTCACTCCATAAAAATGCCAAAAGAGAACTAGGCAATATCAAGCCTTATTGTATTCATGCTTGATCAATAACACATATGTATGGACGGTAAAAAGGAGATTAGTAACAAAGATATTTATGATATCTGCAGGTTCAATAGTAAAAGGGAAGAATGACAGAGTGACTGCTTATATGTGTGACTGCTGTTTCATATGGGTAACTATTTAACACAGGTTTCACAGAGAAGAGGCATTATAAAAACAAAAAGCCTCATGTTATGCGTAAGAATCGCATAGCATACAGTAAGGGGCATTACTAATGAGATCTTGAGAAAGAAGAGCTAATACAACCTCTATAAACTGGATTTTTTCAGTTTATTTTTTTAAAGTTGAAATAGCCTCTTTAGGGCCCTCTAAGAATACTTGATCATCCTAGCTGTTTCCCCACTTATTCGCTCCAGACTAAATGTCCGTCCGTAAAAAAACAACCAGAGCGTTTTTTTGGTCGTTGCTGATCTCTAATAAACTCAAAAATCTTAAGTTTTAATTCTAACCAATCTTTAATTAAAATAGAATCTTTAGGTCCTCATAAGAATACTTGATAATCCCAGCTGCTTTCCCCTCATTCCCTCACTCAAATTTAAGCCTCCCCTTCGGTGGAAATGTTTACGTTCCCTACCACCTTTCCTTCAGTGGACAAGGGTTTCATTCGACAAGCTGCAGGGAGACTCTGGCACGCAGACAAAAGTGTACAAAAAGCTAACAAATTTAAATACACAACATTAAATATACACTGGTAGGTTACTAGATTACGCCGAGGCTCACCTCTTCCTGTTTAATTGACAGGACGATTATTCGATGTAATAATTTACCACTGATGAACCCGGTAAAATTGCCGTGCTCTTGCAAAATCTTACGTTAAAGGAAGGAAAAAACCTAATTCTTCGAAAACGCAAACAAAAAAGAGTTGCAAATACCGCCATTATATAGACCTTATCAAAAGAGACCAATACAAGACTTGAAATACCAATGGTAGTCGGGAGTCACGATCGAAGATTGAGTCATGAAAATAGTTTTTGATTAAAAAATTACCTCTAATCACTTCGCCTGCTCCAATCTTGAACTTGAAAGGTCTGCCCTTGTCTCGTGAGGAATCAAACTTTTTGCCGTTTTGTAACGTCCCTGTGGTAACAAAATTGCCAGATTTTGTCAAGTAATTCTTCAACTGAAAAGCTGTGAGAATTACAAATATTCAGACATCGACAAACCTACCGGTGTAGTGTACCACCACAGTTTGGCCTCTAGTTGGAGTTCCTGGAAGAAGAATATAAATAAGCTCCCTACACAAGACTGGTATACACTAGAGCATGGCGAGATACCTCCATCTCCTGGTTTAATAACCTCCACTTCCACTCCCATGATACTAAATGGTTCCAGTTGCAACTAACTGCACTCTTCTCGTCTTCTTTAGGTATTACCACGTGATAGCTTCTGCACTCAGGAGGGAATGATCTTGTCAGCTTACCTACCCCCACTCCCTAGTTGATTTCTCACCTTTTTAGTCTGCATCTAATCAAGAGGCCTATTTCTTAAAAAATATCGAATTTATCTTTATTAACTCTTCCTGGTTACATTTTTTCTCACCATTTTGATCAATTTCAGCATATTTACGACAAACTACAATTTGCTCTTGCGAAAGCTTTACTAACTCCTCTCCTAGACAGTATTTTGGTTTCTTTGTTTGTTTTGTTTCAGTCCAAGGTTCTTTCCAGCTTCACAGTGGTGCAAAAACGAACGAAACAGCTTTGAAATTGAACTAGTTTTGTTCTATGCTATAAATAAGATTGTATATAAGAAGGCTTATCGTCTCTTAAAGTTACAAACACCATATGTTTGGTCAGCATTATCGGAAATAAATCATTCAAATTCATCGATAAAGCCACTTTAAGCCGCCGTGAACGTGGTAGCATCGATATCATTTCGTCTTCATCCTGAATTCAATAGTCGGTAAAATAACGAAGGTAGGTGTGTTCCTCAGTTACAAGGAGTATTTCTACGAATTTCGTTCTCACTGCTTATTAATTTACTGATGTGTACGTTTTAGTCAGACTTGTCCAACAACAAAGTCAGTTTCATATCCATTTATGACGTGATGGATCCTCTAAGAACACGCTTCGTTTCTAAACAATTCATGCGCGCCTGAGTTTATAATTGACTTATTCCTTGGTTATAATTTCATTTTAAGACTTCTTGTCATTCAATTTGAAACTAGTTGAAGCCGTGGATTTATATATCATTTGAAGCTTATTGAATTAATACGCCAAAATACTCATTCAAGCAACATGGCGCGTGTTCAAATGTTTTGACAGGCAGACAGGCCACATGTTATGATTGTTGGCTGTCGTGGCCAAAGAAACAGTCGGTTAGAAGCTACATTTTTTCTGATCTACCCGCTTTTTCATTGCCATTGGGTAGTTATTGAACAGCTGTACAAATCCTATCCCTGGTTATCTACCTGAGCAGTCATGTTACCTCTTGTTCATTACATTTGTATATTTACTAGGCCACCTTGACTTATAGAGTTCCTATTTTAACCCTTACACTCTAACATCAATATACAAGATCTCCATAATTTTCTACACTTATTTCCCATGTTACCTGCAAGGAGAATTTCTTTAACAATCAAGAGTTCTTCAGTTTGTGATTCTTTCCTTTATTCTTATGACCTGTACTGTTTGATTCAGATATGATGATGTTGAGAGAAATAAGATGCTTATCACTCTTGAGGGTGAAAGGGTTTTAAACTAACTTTTCAAACCATGCTTTGCTGTCAAATTGCCGCCCTTTATCAATTTGCACAGCTTACTATTACAAGTATGTTGATTGACACATTTTGTTTTTCAGGAATATTGCAATTAAAGGAAGGAAGATCATCTAATGAACTGCTAGATCTTTTGTGAAGGACTTACTCTTAGAGGAGCTGGTTTTAAAATATCCATTTATCATGGGTGGTGCAGTTAGTTCAGGACAAGACAATGATGAGTTGATTGACAACTTAAAAGAAGCTAACTACATCAAATCGCCAGAGGTGGAACATGTCCTCCGTGTGATAGATAGAGCGGACTATTTTCCAGAGGGAACTAAACAACATGCATACAAAGATTTGGCCTGGAAGAGTGGTAATGTTCATTTGTCAGCTCCTTGTATTTACTCTCAAGTTCTAGAATCTCTTGAATTAAAAGAAGGATTATCATTTTTGAACCTGGGTAGTGGAACAGGCTACCTGTCCACCATGATCGGATTGATTATTGGTGCCAATGGAGTCAATCATGGGGTTGAATTATATGGTGACGTTGTTGAGTTTGCTGAGACGAAACTCAAAGAATTTTTGCGGACTAATCCAGTATACCAAGGAACCAACTTTTGTGAGCCAGTGTTTATTGTTGGCAATTGTTTGTGGTTAAATGCACACTATAGACAGTATGATCGTGTGTATTGTGGAGCTGCCTGCCCTCCTGAATATGTAGAGTATATGAAGTCATTAGTGAAAATTGGTGGAATTTTGGTCATGCCCTTCAATGAGAAGGTGAGAAAATTAAAATTTTTTCAATGAATTATGTACAGCACACATTTCTCACGACACCAAAGATTTCAACCCTCCCACCTTGGACAGAGACTTCCTGATTATATCTGACGTGCTCAGTATTCTCCCCATTTTCGTAACTTTCCTCTGTCATAGGAAAGTGAAAGTTTTTTAATGCTTAATTCAGCATTTTACAATGCTTTCTGCTTATCCTGTGGTATCACCATTTTTCAAGCTCAAGTCAGCAGTTTTTTAGGGTGGTTCTTTTCTAGATTACCTTGACCTTATGTGGGGTGCATGGTCTCTAAAAGCAGGAAAAGGTATCTGAGAGGTTGATATTGTTGAAAATTTTGCCTTAACCCTTTAACTCTTATGAATGACTAAGACAGAATTTCTCCTTACAATATCAATACAATGTCAACCAAACAAGCGATGAGAATTTAAAGAAAAATATCATTAGGGGATTATTAATTGATCTTATACCAAATTCTTCAGAGTAACATCACAAGAATTATATGGCAGACAGTAAGGAGAACTACTAATAATTTTTTGGGAATAAAACTGTTCAGACCCTTCTTAAGGTCCTTGTCTTCACTGTGTATGTTTACGGCATTTGTAAACCCAAGATCTCCCATTTTTTATTTGTAAGGGTTGAAATCACTGTGTTGTGGGTACAAGAAGTTGCAGGTTGAACCTGGATAGATAATGTAACAGCTTTAAGCCAACCCTGAATGTGTATTTAGTGAATCTTCTTCAGGAATGATCCTCCAGAACTTTCCTTTCTATCAGAAAAAAGGGGAAATAGTTGATTTTTAGGCTTCTACTTAAATCATTTATCATTACCAGTCAATTGCTCGCATCTCAATCAAAGAATGTATCGTGCTAAACTATAATTGTAATCACAAGGACTTGTCTCCAATGAAAAAAGAGGGTAAACATTTGCATTTATTTTAAAATTTTGGACTGCACTTATCAAATCCATATTGAAGCAATTCCAATAAAGTGATGTCCCTGAGAGGTGCAGTAAGGAAAGGCCTGCAAAATCTGAAATTAGCAAAGATTGTTGCTCTTATTAAGAACTATTTTAAGAACTTTTTGCACATACTGTTGAATACTGTTGCCACCCACCCCTTGAAAAACCTTTCTTAGGCCTATGAACCTTTTATGCCTGATCATCGGAATGCATATTCTCCATTCAGCTGTTCTCTATACATTTTTTAAGGTGCTGACAAGTTTTATAATTGAACAGTATGTAAGGAGATAAATTTAAAATGTTTATACTCATAGCACTATTTTCATTTGGTCAACTGAAGGCTTCCTAACAATCAAGTCATGCTTTTTAGTGATTTTGCAATTTTACTTTGGTCATGATTGCAGCTATTCAGAATGCGTCGAACTGGTGACACTGAATGGGACATTGAGGGGCTACTACCAGTGTCTTTTGCACCACTGATAAACTGCAAGGAAGACAAGAAGGAATTTCCTCAGTTTATTGAAATACGTAAGTGTCTACCTGAAATCCAAACTTAAATCATCTGCATCAGCTCCTTAATTTTACAATGGACTTAACCCTTTACATCCTAATGTTTGCTTTTTATATTCTTTACACTGTCGTCTTTACACTTCCTATCATACTGGCCGATCATCAGAAGCTCATAAATCAGTGATCATTTCTCTTTTCTCTGAATGGTTATATTTGATTCAAGGGTGATTAACTGTAACTTATCTCTAGATCTGATTGTTAATTCTCCCCTCTTGCTGCTTCACATTTTTTTGTAAATTGCATACAAGAATTTAGTGTTCAATCGAGACAATTATGTCATACCTGATAAGTTTGAGTATTCTCACTACCTGACTGCTGGATAATGTATGGATGCTATAAGTAGAAGTTACATGTTAATCACCTCTGGAAGTTAAAGGGTTAATCAGAAGTAAAAAAAGATGAACCTGTAACAAATTAGACAATTACTTGCATTTTCTCACAACATAATACCACAAAAGCATGACTTGACCTTTGCCTGGCTCTTCTCCAGTATCCATTACTATAACAGAGAGCAAACTACATGAAATATATTTGTCTGCTAAACAAGTCTAGACTTGTGTTATGTGAAGTTCAACAACAGACCTAGGGGGTGGGGGTGGGATGTGCACCCACCCTACCCTGATTTTAGCTTTTTTGCATTAATGATAATAGTGCTCCTAATGGACACAAACACAGAAAAAAAGGGGCCACAAAATGGTTCCCTCACTATCCCAAAGTTTGGATCTGTGAATAATTACTAACTTTTGGAACTTGATTTTTCAGCCACACATCCAAGGTACCTCCAAGACCTCTGCAGACTTGTGATAAGGAGAACTCTTGGTCCGGATGGAGTAAAACAACTCTGTGATTTACCTCTTCCTCCTGCACTTGTTATGTATCTGAACTACTTCCATGAATTGAGGCAAGAATAAACAAGTTGTCTGATGTAATTTCTCTCTACACTTTCACTGAGGAAGATGAGAATGAAAGCATGATCTGCAAGGGCTCTACAGGTGAAAGTAATGTCTCCATTCAGCATTAATCCTTAGTGAGGTAACACCCTGTCAATATGTGAGAGTTCTCAAGACAAAGACTTTTGCTCAATTGTCATCTAGCAGACTGCGAAAGACTATTGATACACAGTAAAGCAAGTTATTCTGTTACATGACTTACTTGGGTTTGGGGGAAAGATATAAGGGGGGTGGTTCTGGTTGGTGGTGTGACAGTTTAATTAATCCTTTAACTCCCAAGATCTCACTAGTAATTCTCCTTACTATCTGCCAAATGATTTTCGTTATGTTAGTTTGGAGACTTTGGTATCAGATCAATTAGTAATCTTATAACTGATATTTTTCTCTATTCTCATCACTTGTCTGCATGATTTTGTATAGATTTTGACATAGTAAGGAGAAATTCTGTCTCGGTCACTCACTGGAGTTAAAGAGTTACGGACTCTTCAGGCTCTCGTTCTGGTCCTAGGGAATAGAAATCACATAATGTGTTGTGTGGCAAAGAGTATATGATATACTTATTTCAAAAAAACTGATCCAAGGTTTTGAAGAATCTTCAACATTAGGAACTTGCAAAGCATTCTCTTTTCTGGATTTCTCTAGTCTATCTGCAAAATATTCAAGAGTCAAATGTGCAAGATTGTTGGTAGAGAACTGCAGTGAAGATGCTCAAAACCTTCACAAAGATATCTCTCCTCTTGAGATTGTTTCAAACTCTCCTATTTAAGATACATTTCTAAATTCTCTCATTCAGTGCAGTAATAGTGCAAATTGTGTGCTGCATTTTAGGTGCATGAAACAGAAGTATCACTTTTGCTTTTCTTTTTTATATTCATGAACTAGTCTCTGCATTTTCTGTTGAAACATTTTTGTAAATACATGGTGATGGTGTATTTATTGAAGTAAATGGAAGTTAATTTCTTTCAGAAGTAATTTTTGTGTATTACATTTCCCATACACTGCCAGTGTAAAATTTTTTCTTTATGTTTCAAAATGTTGATATTGAGAAGTCAGGTCTGTATCACCAGAGTCAATTAGTTTTGGTGACATGTTCCTTGTGATTAATTTTCAAGTGCAAAGCCAGCTTAAGCACCACTTATAGTCCCTGTTATTTTTTTTATGCAGTGCTCTCCTGGCCCTGCAAAAAACTGTCAAGAGAATATAGGGTTGGATCTAATTGTTAATTAAAGGTGTGTACAATAACAAAGACAAAAAGGTGTTGCTTGTGTAACCTAAGATTGGAGGAGTGTGAAAACTTAGAAATAAACTCCTCTTAAACAAAATGTTACACACCAAAAAAAGTTACCAGGGAGAAAATGTGAAGCATTACACTGTGCCCTCAGATTACAGGTCTCAAAAGCACAATAGCTGTGGACGCATAGGACAACAAGTTTCTTGAACATGTCTTTGTGAGGAAGAGTTTATTGTGGACTCAACTTCCAACTTAAGACATAACACTCCAACTCAATTTAACCCTCTAACTCCCAAGATTTCATGAGTCATTCTCCTTACTGTCTGCCATACAATTTATGTGGTGATAGTTTGGAGAATATGGAATTGGATCAACCAATAATCCCCTAATTGATATTTTTCTTTATTCTCATTACTTGTCTGCTTGATATCATACTGATAATGTAAGGAGAAATTCTGTCTTGGTCACTAGTGGGACTAAATGGTTTATGGAATGAGTTTTGCATTTATTCAGTTTGAGTTTCATCAATTTGATATACAAGGCAACCAGGTGGACAACTAGACATGGTTTGATACCACTCTTGTTTAAAGATTTAATGAATGTAACCAAGAAGTTACAATTCATAGACCCAATGTTTCAACACTCCTGTCTACAGCCTTTATCAGGTGTGATCTGATCACTGCGACAAGAGGTTCTCTTACATGCTCACTAATTAGCTGCGCTTTTTTCTTCTGACAAGGTGTAAATAGTAGGTAAGCTGTTATCATCACCATTCAAAGGAGTGAGGGCTGAATTGATATGCCAGGCTTCCAAATAATTTCAGAATTATCCCACAAAATTGTATAATTAGTTAGGCATTTGAGCTCCTACAAAGCTGAATTTTCTTTTTTGCAAAAGAAGACCACTTTTTGAGGCTCTTTCAAACATGTACCAAACTGACATTTGGTCTGTCTGATACACTTGTTATCACAGTGATTGCATAGAACAGAATGAATGGTTTTGGATCCTTGGGTTTGGCAAAAATATGCTGTAAAGTCTGAAAAGGTTTTTGAGCAAATTCAACTTTAAATCGTGATGATGGTAGCTTACTACCTGATGCCTATTTACACCTCTTCAGAAAAAAGGGCAGCTAATTAGTGAGCATTTAAGAGGACCTTGTTGCAGTGATTAGATCACTCCTGATGAAGGGACTAGACAGGAGTGTCAAACGTGGGTCTATGAATTGTAACTACTCGGTTATATTCATGAAATCTGTAAACCAGAGTAGTATCAAACCATGTTTGTTCTACCAAATTGTTCTGAGGATAAATTTGGTTGCTGTGACAAATATTTAAACAAAAAAATTCCAATGTCACACAGACAGAAACTGTTTATTGTTGAGGTGAGTTGCAGTGACCTGACACTGTACCTGAGCCTTATTTCATTTTCACTCTCTCTCTTGTTTTTAACAGTGAAATGTTAATGTGAAAAATACAATGATAAGATCATTGGATGTTGGCCTTCAGAAGTATTCTGAAGCAATGGTTAGCTTCAAGTAAGGTTTAATACAAGTACAGTGTTTCTTTGTTTCAATTGAAAATGAAAAACCCAAGTTTCACTGAATCATCAGAGATGAGTGGATTATTTTGACTTTTTGGATGAATTTTGAGGGCTAATAAATAACCATAGGGTGGCTAGTAATGTAGCCACCCTAATTAAGGCAGTTACTCTTCAGGTCTCCCCCCCAAAAAACTTCAAAATTATCATAACTTTTTACACGAGAGGCAACAAAATGAGTCTTCTACTAAAGTGGTCATAAATTTTGGTTAGCCTATCCCTCCATCCATATCTAAAACTACTGGTCTTCAATTTCCTCACACACCCCTACCAATTAAAATAAACTGTTTGAATTCTTACAATCGGGAGTTTAACTTTGCGTGACCCACTGGTCTGCGTTTGTTTCACGCTGCTTTGTGTGGAGACATAATCCAAGATTTGTCACAAGAGAAACTCGAGTAAGACCGCCCATTCCAACCTTACAAAAACGAATTTATGCTTAGAACCTGAATTATGAAAATATTACGTTCAGATACAGATGCTCAGTTTCTTTTAATTATATTGGGCTAGCGGGCGAGGTTAAAAAAAACATGTCAATTATACTTAAGAGAGGAGAAAGGTTCTTTGTATTCCGTGTTAGAATTGTTATTACGTGAGAAGATGTTTTGACTGTATTCGTTTCACTTTCGGATGCTTGTGTTTCACCTCGCCCTTTCTTTTCAGCCTGTACTCTTTTCAAGTTAAATTTTGCGCTTGCATATGCCACGTCGACGCATTTCATAGCCGCAGAGGAGATCGAGAAAAAGCTTATCTGTAATTGAAATCACACCGTGCACAACCAATGCAAATTTACGAGACAACTTTAATGTGAATAGCATAAACTCTCGCTTTAGCTTGTTTAAGCGTGCTTAACTTATAATGGAAACGGGTAGAAGGAATAATATTGCAGGTCGAGTTTCCAAATAAACCCTACAAGAATTCATTTTAATTTCACTACAGTACACACGATTAAAGTTCAAAGAACTATTTAAGCTCAGTCCACGGTCCAAAGGTTCAGAATGCATGCAGTAACTAAAGTTACAAAAACCAACTTTTACAGGAGAGAGTATTTCAGCTAACCGTTTAGAGAATTCGGAATCACTTTCTCAAAGATTTACCGACTTTGGGCGCGCCACTCGCAACGTATACAGTAACATTTCTGGCCTAATAAACAGGATAAATCCAAATTGCGTCTACGATAGTAAAACCCATGTTTTAACTGAAAACTACAGGTGATCAAGCGTGCGATAGATCGACGATTTCAGAAATACAGAAATATACAATACAATTACGAGTCATTGCGTACAGCAAGATTATAAGCTACAACGAGACAAGTCCGAAGAGGTCAAAAATTATTTGATACTACACTCAGTAAAGGAACAAAAACGAAAATAGGAATAAGCAAACTTGAAACAAGGAGTATCCAAATCTTTTGTTCAATGGTCTTCAACCGATACGTCTGGGAAGAAACCTCACTTAGGACCTGGCGATGGAAGCTCCAAACGGCGCTTTGACTCCCACTTCCTGGGCATTCTGCACGAGAGTACACAGCGTACAACAACAGCTAAGGAGAAGATCACTAACCAATGAACCTTCGATTCCTTTCTGCTCACGGATCTTGCCACGGATTTGGCTGAAGAACCACAAGTTTACAAGCGGAACGAAGGTCACCACTCCGCACATCAGGCAATCATCCCCCATCGCTTCGGCCGTCTTGCCGAAGGTGTAACACGGAGCACAATAAGTTGTGAGACAAAGTGGAATATCGTTGAGGCAGCTACAGAGGCCATTGCTCCATTGTGAAGACATCTTGTCGGTCAAGTGCTGAGAAGAAACCTCGATCAATAACAGCGCCTTCCAATATTCTAACCTCGCAGGCTAAGGCAAGATGAATCGATTATGAAATGAAACACTCCCCTTTTCTAAGAAATCATAGGGCATAATTTGTCGACATGTGATTGGTCGCTCGAAATCACACTCTCAGCCCCATATGGTGACTGAACAAAGGCGCAAAGTTCTCTTCTTACTCTGGGAACGATTAAATTTCCACTTGGTGATGCAAATTTCTTATAGTCCAGAGAAAAAGAAACGCATAATAAATTGGTATAAGAATGTATGTCTAAAAATTATCTTATAAGGGAAAACACATCCTTGTGCGAACATCTTGCTTTCTAGGTAGGAATTGTAAACTTAAATATTTTTTTGGCTTCGCACAGACGTTAGATGTAACATAAGACGATTCAGTAGAGAATTTCGATTGTTTTTGTTTCAATTTCTTACATATTTCTGATTTTAAGAATTATGCAAATCCGTTAAACAGTCCAGCACCGGTCTAAGCGGACTAATAGTTGTGTTCTTCCGGGGGGTGGCGGTAAATAATAAATAAATAAGTGTAGGAAATTCATAAGGTCTGGTTCAGGAAAAGGCGAAAAAAACACGATTCCATGGTTCATATGTTAAATTTTACACAAGGAAAGGGAGTTAAAATTGGGAAGTTGTTCCAAGATTCCAAGGGCGATGCATTACTGTTAGTGAAACTGTTGAGTATTCTCCCCTCCTGAAAAAGACCGAGCATCTGCGTGGAAGCTAAGAAAAAAAAAACCAGCATGTCATCCAAAGCTCACTTATTAAAGAAACTCGACGAAATTCATTCTCTTTTGTTTATTTATCATAACTGCAAAACTTTAACCCAGAAGGGAACGAGATTGATTATAGAACCAATGGTCATTCTCTGGAAATATAGACCTGAATTTCCCTTGTAATCTCGGCTATCTCATTGAAACGTTCTCTCTTGCGTTAGAGACAATTTATGAGTGATAGTTTTATAGTAGAAAAATTTGAAAGTAACATGTTTCTATGCCCTAGGATTCATGATATTAATATTTGATCAGGAGCTGCGAGCTGCAAGTTTTCAGGAAAAATGATTGTTCTCGAAAAAAACGAATGACGCGTTCACATGTGAATCATTAGAAGACTGGTTATTGGAATCTCTGTTGTGTCACCTCTAACAACGAGTTACCTACACAGATATGGGCATAAATATGAGTTAATAAAATAGATGAAAAGCATATAAACAATCAGTTCAGGTATCGTGCTGATTCCTCGACAATTACTCATGTAATAACATGGGAGCTGCAAGTTTTCAGGAAAAATGATTGTACCGTGACAAAGACGAATGACGCGTTCACATGTGAATCATTAGGAAACTGGTAATTAAAATCTCTGTCGTGTCACCCCTGACAACGAGTTACCTACACAGATAAAGGCATAAATACGAGTCAATAAAACAGATGAAAAGCATGTCAGTTCGGGTACCTTGCTGATTCCTCGACAATTTCACATGTATTAAAGCATTTTTTCAATATTTGAACGGAAGCGGTACTTGTAAAAAGGGATGATTTTCGACTTCTTTTAACAACGTTAGTTTCACGTGGAAGCAAAATAAAGCGAAGTGTTCCCGTTATCAATTTCACTTTAAAATTATATGCAGCTTTACCTCCGCCTGTGATCTGTTTCTAAGATGTCTTAGGGTATGAGGTTAAATCCAAATAAATTAACCTGCTGAGAACCTGTCCGAAAAACCTGAACACAATTAACCACACTGTACACATACGCTTTGACGAAGGGCCAACGCTCGAAACGTCAGCTTCAGAAACTCTTTACGGTGGCCAACTTACAATCTCAACTCGGTTGATAAATTAAAACCAAATCATCTTGTTATACGCCCTCAACGACGCTGCACCACAGTTTCCCTAGAAACTTTACCCCCTTTATTCACTGTACACAATGAACCACTGTGTCATTTCCTCTTGTTACGACATGAAATACTGATAACGTTGGCACACAAGTCTTGGGCCTCAAAATGCATGGATTAGTTGGGTTGTTTACAAGATGACCCTCTTAGAAATACGCAGATTCGTAGCTCCGGCGGGGCTTTGCTAACTTTGGTGTGAACCCGGACAAAATACTGATTCGAAGTTGGGAGGGTAGGGTGGGTAAAGGGGAGGGTGGAGAGGGTGGAACATGACTGCCGGGAGATGATGTCCAGCAAAGTCTTGCACATCTTACAGCCGTTCCTGTGCCAGGCTTCAGGTAAGAGGATGGGTTGCCTCGAGAACAAGAAGAAATTATATTTTAGTAAAAGAATAGGTGTTATTCGGCGAAGTTCCCTCTCCTTTAGTTAATTGTCTTCTGGACTAAATTCCAAGTTGTTGGGGGGGTCATTGCAACCATACTTCCATTCTTCAGTTAACAACTTATGGTATTTTCCCGTACGATCTACGTTACCATACTGGAGCACTGTAGCCATCTAAAGAGAACACAATTTTAGCTCTAAAGAAGTCGCTGACCCCTTTTCATACGCCGAAGTTGCCTAGCCAGGAAGATGGAAAAAAAACAACCGTGACATGTTTGTCATAACATGTCTTCTGCATGATCGGATGGACCAATTTAGAACACAAACTCAAGTGAGAGGAAAAATTCTTCCGACGACGAAATTTGAGGGGTGTAAATGACTCGACAACGGAAAGAGCAGTAATAAATCGATCCACAGTAAGTGCCCCGAAGAGTGAATTGTTATCAGGGAAAATTTAACTTTCTTAAAGGTAAACATTTCCTTCCGCTGGCAGTGTATAGTATTATCACACACTAGGCCAAATAAAACTTGATAATTCCGACAGGGCAAGGGGGCCATGTCCCTTAAGAAGGATATTGGAGAGCACAGCCTTTTCAGTGCGGAAAACATCGCAGGCGCAGCATAAAAATCTTTGTTCCTCCCGCAGAGGAGCACAGGCTCATCTCTTGAACAGCGGCTGGTAATTGAGCTTACATAAATTTAGCTTATCAAAATAGCTAGTCCCATGATCTGTCTCGTGATATTATCATTAAGAATTTCTACTTGATTTCCCTTACATGGCGAAACAATTCGAAAATACGTCGCGGACGCACTAAAAATTGGTAGGATTGGAGAGAGTTTCGCCGCTCGTGCGAACAGACCACTTAATACATTAACGCTTTGAGAAATTTAGTAGAAGAATGCGCTTGTCTTGATGAACGATTAGCCTCTCAACATTTCCGAACGCCCCGCCGCTTCTGATCAAGGTCACCCTAAATTGAGCAAAAATCTGGTGTTTCGTGAAACTATGAAACATCGTAGTGAAATGACGCTGTTACTGACGTTGGTTTACTTCGGCTTGAGATCAGAATTGTTTAAGATCTTTTCAGTGTTTTGAGCGAATAAGGATCTAGAGTACACGGAGAACGTTCGCTACGGAAAAAAGCCACATGTGTAGAGTGGTATTTTAAGGGTAAAGTTTCGTCACATCCTGATGTATCAGGTGTGCAGAGAAGCTGTTGATAAACAGATAAGGGTTATCAACATTCCCCGTTTGTCACGACGAGATGGCCCTTTAAAGACAATGTGCAAAGTATATGTTTATTTTGCACTAATTACTTCCTCGGGATGTTACGAATCGCCCAGTTATGACAATCATTTTTGGTGTTAAAACGTTTGGAGGTGGGGCTCGGAAGCATAAAACAACCTTAGCTTGGAAAGACAACTTTTGTCGTCAGGGATTCTATTTAACTAAATGAAGGGGTACTTTTAACAAATAAACAGTCATAAGTGGAAATGCGATGAAAAGATTACCACGTCATGCTGGCATTCTCTGATATCAGGTGTACAATCCTCTGTCCTTATATTGCATGACATCCTATTGTGAAGTCATTTGACCGACAACCGGGCGCAGTCTCGAACTAAGCACAACGAGAAACAGTTGTCTGTTTCAGGTTTGACGTCTAACTATCTGCAGTAACGGATTGAAAAGTATTATTCTGTAATACTCTAAGACGGATTGGATCAGCAAGAAGCCAGTGTCTCTGAGAAAGGATGATTCCCCTGAAAAGTATCCAAAAGAAAAACAAGGCTGTTAAGCACGAAAAGCCTGAAAAACGATTGAAAAATAGGAGCAAGCTTCCTCATAAGAGGACAAACACTGTGGCCCTCCCAGAGACACTCAACAAACGGGTCGATATAAACAGGATACGGAACAGAAAGTCTTCCTGCCCGGAAATTCTTTTGTACAATACAGGTCTCAAAGGCAAAGAACTTCCCGAGCTTTTCAAGTTGATAAAGATTGGGGAAGCGGACTTACAGTCGCTAGCCACGAAAGGAATCTACCCACTCCACGATGCCGTGTCTAAAGGGCTTACAGACTGCGCTAAGGTGCTTATAGAGAAGGCCACGACTCTAAACGTGCGGAATGCTGACGGCTACTCGCCTCTCGATATAGCAGTGGAAACGGGAAATTTTGAGTGCGCAGAGTTATTGATAAGGCATGGAGCTTCAGCAGAAGACATCAGGAATGGTTTTAAATTGAGGTCAAGGATCGTACGAAAGATCTCCAGTCCAAAATAGGCGCGTGCCATGCACGATTGTATGTATTATTCAGGACTTGAATTAGATTTTATGCAAGTATATAATGTTAGATTTAGAAACTGAAAATTCCAGCTTCTGTTCAGTAATGACCCCTTCGTTGAAAAGAAGATCTCAACGACATTTAGCGGCGCAATGTAGCCGAGAAGTAATTTTATGACGGTGTAGCTGTCTTAATGAGCAATGATACACGAAAATTGACTCTGTTAACTCTCTCGTAGATGTAATGTCTTTATCTAATGAGACATCATTTTTAAAGCGTTTTGCAGCTAGCCGAGTGAATGTTAGACTGTGGCTGTATACGTTTTTTCTACAAGTGAGAACCTACCCTTGGTACCCACTTAGACAAGCATCGTTATTTAATCTTTATAACGTT